ACCGCTCGATGTGCTTGAAAAATCTTGAAAAAAGGGGGTTCATCAAGCAATGGTGAAACGGCAGTTATACCATCAGATAGCGCAAAGAATTTACTTCAGGATGTGCTACTGACAACAAACTACTAACACAAAACGCGCAGAACGTTCCGGACAACCCAATAATTTCGCTTACAAGTACGAGCCCCCATTGCCTCAAATAAGTGGCTCCATTTCCAGTAGAAAGAACAACAACTTCAAAAATAGATGGTTCTGTGAGTAGTTACATTAGCCAGATATGTACTCGAGTACAAGTCCATTTCTGGAGGGAAGCCCGCTGTTGGCCAGTGTCTCAAAATATTCATCGATCCGCCTAGTTTGTCCCTATTTTTAGTAACACCTCTGCATCAATGATTTTGGGAGAGGTAATGGATGCCGACCAGGGACCATCTCAGCCGTTTAATATGTTATGCTGTTTGGGATGACATTCCGTGGCTTGTTTTCGCATAAGAATGGAGAATACTGGCTTTGTAATGATAGCCTTGGTCCGTTTCTCTTGCGAGAGCGATCCCCATCTACAGGGACTGAAAGCGACAATGCTGGAAAAAGTCAACAAGTCAGGGTCAAATGCCTAAGTTTTCTCAATTTTCTTGTATACAAGGCTCCGTCTCCTCGTAAGGGGTACGGAGGTAAATTGTAGCGCGAACTAAACTCCGATAGATCCCAAGAGTGTCGAGCTGCCATTTAGGGGCACGCCAATTGACTTTTTGTAAAAAAACAACTCGTGGTAAGTTCAGCGTTTCCACTTGAACAAGTCGCCGTGCCAATTTTCAAGGATTTCCACTTCAAAGCTCTCCTTCAAAGCTATCGAATCACACTAACTAAATGAAGCAGCAATGTTGTGAAGTGTTTCCACACAAACATAAGGTAAGCTATCATGTTGATCCTTGAGACATTTGAAATCATACTGCTCAAAACGGAAAGATAATGTGCAAGTGCATGAAAACGCTGTGTTCTTGCTGGTTTAGTAGCTCGCACACAATTCATCAACTTATCTTTTCTTTTAAAAAAA